TTTTTTCTGTTATCTTAGGGATTTCTAGAATTTTTTTTTTAATAACATCCACTTGGGACATCCTTATCTAATCTCCCTTTTTATTAAATATACATGAAATCCTCGCAACACTTAATTTAGGCTACAAGCATTCAAATCTTCCATCTGTAGCTATTATTTCACCTGCCCATTTTATTTATCATTTTGATCATTTTCAAACCATCCTTTTTTATTCCAAGCAACCTGTCTATTTTCTCTATGATGCATGTGTTTACACATTTGCATACATAATTATGTGAACATTATTTTAATCATTTCACCCCAAGCAAGGCAATAATGCCACTAAGATGCAAGTAGTTACTGGGAGTGAAAGAAAATGAGAAGACCTTAATGAGGAGAAAAACAAAACCGGATTTAGAAAGACAGAATTAAGTAAAACCTATATTATGTTTTCGTTAAGCTCAGATTCAGGGTTGCCAGATTATGTAAGGTTAAAAATATATATTCCATAATACAGGTTTTACTTAATTAGCTATTATGTTTTTCTAACTCTTCAAATGTTGAATGTATAACTAATTCTAATTTCTATTTTCCCATCTTTAAAATATATTAATTTTATCTTATAAACTGTCCCCTGTTTTGTCACCTATGAAATAAAAATAATTGTTTGTACAGAAAATAAGGATCTGTGTACATCAAATCATCTTTAAATGGTAGCAGAAGAATTATTATTGAACTTGTAAAAGGTAAGCTTGAACATTAATTCAATACTTAAATGCAGTGATCAATTTTGAGTTCTGTAGTTTATTGATGCCTATCACATCTACTCCTCCCTAGCTATTGTGGTGATGGCCAAACCAAGAGTTCTCCACAAGAGCTAGCTTAAATGTTGCTTGATAAGGCAGCTTTTAAGGTAATTTATAATAAAACCTGCACTTCAGTTTTGGATACAAAAGGAAAATAAGAGTTACTCCCCTTGAATCACGAAAGCGACAATAATGGCTAGTATAATATATTAATATATATTTTTAACCTTGCTTAATCTGGCAACCCTGAATCTGAGGTCAACGAAAATTGTTCCCTGTGCCTAACTTTTCTAGCTATGAATCATTTGAAATTGGGCCAGTGGGAGTGGAGGAGTTTCTTGGACACACACACACACTGTACTTTATATATAAGATTACTAACAACATACATTCTTCAAATGCTCTGAGATGAGTTATCAGGTATGTCTTCAAGACTGTTCCCAGTTTCGGGTTTTTGCCTTCAGACACTTTTTGTCAGTTAATCCTGCTTGTGTTGATGAAGTACAGGTTCTTAGTATTTGTATGCTACAAGTTGTTTCAGTGGTTTTCCACATTCGGGTGTATTTGTTTCTTTTTAAGTATTATCCTTTTCTTTTTTTTTTTTTTTTTATAGTGTTTTGAACTTTCTACCATCAGCCAATGAAATTCTTCCATGCAAGTATATTACTCCATTTCTTCGGGTTTCTTGCGAGGTTATTTGAAGTTATTCTTCTATAGTCTGGTAAGTTATTTGCTGTCTTCTTCTCCCTCCCGTTTTCTTTACCTAATTTTTTTACCATAGTTATTAGTTGATATTTAACACAAAAATTGTTCCTGTTCATATTGTAAAAATAAGGATCAAATCTATTTTCTAAAATTGCTTACGATGAATAGAAGATAATATTCACTATATATTCATACATGTTTCATTAAATAATATAGACAAGTGTTGTCTATTTATTTTATGTAAATTCTTTTCATAATGTCTGATAAGTTTAATAACATTATCATTAAACGAAGAAAGAAATCACAATATTGATCCATATTTTTTAATCCAATCTAAGCTTTCAGCTTACATAAACCATTACCAAAGATGTCAATTACTGTACAATATATTAAGCAAATACAGAAAAGACAGTGATGATAGTCTGTTATTGTTTACATGGATGATTTCCAAGCAATGATAAACACGTGCATATAAGACACTAGAAGCGAAAATCGCACTGCAGCTCATGACGTTACACATGGCCACACAAGAGTGAATTCAAGAAGTATTAAGTATGGGAAGCTTCTGTTACCAATTATAGACATTTAAGGATACATATATTATTTGTTAACTTTCAAATATCAATTTTTTTTTTTTTAATTTTTTTTTTTTTGTCGTTTTCACCTGAATTAGAAGTTTCTGGGTAAATATGTTTTTCAGGGGTTCTACTTTTAAATGATATTTCCAAATTTTTCAATTTGTTTTGCATCTTTGCTTATGTCTTATGTTGTTTTTTTTTTCGGCTATAGATTTTTCTTCCAGTTGTAAATTTTTCTTCAAAATTAAATTAATTTTCTTTGTTTTATATAGAAGTTATATTCTATTATTAAATTGTAATATTCATTAATTTGTATTATTAATTAAATTATAATATTTTATTTTGTATTTGTATTATTAATTAAATATTTTATTTGATGTATTATGTTATATAATTAGTAAAGTAATAAAGTAAATATATGTTAATATGTTGGCATCAACCCATCTTGGCAGCTACTTATGAAAAAATGGATATTCTGGGGTCTCACTCTTGCCCCATGTATGCAAGTTTGCTGAGATTGGACAAGGAAATGGAATTAGTTGAGATTAGCTCACCAAAAATATGACCACTTGATCTTTCACCCTTCTGTGTCTCCCAGCCTTGCTCGCTTAGACAGTGGTGATAGAGAAATAAAAAAAATAAGAAGACTAAAATTACACCATCTCTAAAAATAGACAGAAAATAAAAATCACCAGACAAACAGTCATAGTTCAACCAACCAATAAGAAATGTTTCACAACCAAGATGTAAGAAAAGTAATAAACAAATAATATAAAAAATTTCCCCATTTCTAAAAAGAGATAGTTCAACTCACCAATCAGAAATCTTTCATAATGACCACCTTTTTGAAGCAGATCTATAGATTTGTATATAAACAGATAGAGGATCAAACAAAATCAAAGTTGAAAGATCAATTTTATCCATGCTTGAGTGCTATCATCATTGTAACATACCCAGAGACAAAATATGACATTTGCATCACTAGTTGGTGACTGTACATGGCTAATCCACCCTTGCTACATGGAAAACAAACATACCTTCCTTTATCACGTGGTTAAGTGGTGAACACTACATTTGGATACATACATACATTACTATATTTATTTCTATGTGGATTCTTTCTGTTTCTCATAAACCAGGACTTTTATCATTTTAAACATTATTTTTAGTATTTTACTTGTATTTGAGTCGGCACTACATTTATTTATTAAACAGCATATTTATTTATTTTCATCTTCCAGCCTGTATGTTTGCTTATCCTTCTGAATTATTATATTGTGTTGCATAAAGATTTATTTTATATATATATATCAATACTCAGTGTATTTTTTTTAAATCATTACACAAGGCCAATATACACTCAAATCAATTATACATTATATATGGAGGTAACAGAAGTTTCAGAAGATAACCTTCACAAATCCCTCACAAGTCCTACTGGATTACAGTAATTTTGTTCCTCCACACTCGCTCAGAATTTTTCTGCATGGGCTGACATCTTTTACTGTTTTTCAGCCTTAATCAATTAGGATGTGGAGGGGGAGATCTGTTTCCCCTTTTGCTATTGTCCTTACTAATGCATTTAGCCTTAACCTTTCTTCCACTGGCTCTAGTTCTCTGGGAACACTCCATTTTCTTCCAGTTTGAGTTTGTATTTGAACTGCTTTTACTTTGATGTCTCTTCAGTTTCTGTATAGTTTGTCTTGTCCGAGTTCCAGTACGTTCTTCTCTTGGGCTGCTGAAGTGGAGTTGCAATGCATTGGCCATCCCATATAACAATGTATTACTCAGGCTTTTTGATAATCCCAAACATCTTCTTAGATTGTTATTTTTTTTTTCTTTATACAGTTAATGGTGGATAATAATATCACATGTCTGGTAAATAAAATCACGTATCAGGTTACCTGTGTAATGGGGTAGAGCTAGGGGAGAAGGATTTATTCTCCCATTTATGCTTCTACCATTATGGCCATTATTATGTCCATGACAATAACACCATAGTTCACAGATAGGACAAAACAAAATGGCTGAAAGAAAAAAGAATGACGAACATGCTTTGTTCTCAGAGAGAATTTTATATTACTAAGACATACACAAAACACACACACACATATATTTCTGAGATGAGGTATTATGTACACTATTTACATTATTCGAACTATTGTCTTCATCTTTGTCACCATATTTATTACAATGTTTTAGCCGTTGTATGCCCTGGCCTTCTTCAGGTGGTTGAAATGTCAAACTGGATCCTTTTTCACTCACTATCTTAGTGATGCCATTGTCGCAGTGATATACTTTGCCTGTTGATTTCTGTGTCTTGTCTTTGAGACTCACAGACTTAAAGAAACTGGGATCTGTGCAATTTCTGACCCTACTTCTCCTTCATTTTACCAGGGCCTTTTTTTTTTATTTCTAACTGTACACTTTTCCTATATCTTATCTAAGTACTTAATATGGCTTCGGATCTTTAAACCGTGTTCCTTTTTGCATGTCGTCTCACAAATATATTTCCTGTTCATAATCCTTTCAGCAATATCAGTTGTTTTCTTGTTATCCGTCCACATGGGGTTCTCATCCTCTGTCCAGTCTTGGGATCTCTTGCAGGTATGTGTCAATAGATGTACTCATAGCATTCTTTGTGTTTCCTCTAAAGAGGATGGCAGGTAGGACTGTTAACTTGCCTTGCTTCCTTTGTCGTCTTTCTGAGCTGTCAAATATCTCTCTAGTTATCACTAAGTCTCTTTCTAGGTCGTCACCTGGCCTATTCCCAGATGTCACTGGTAATTCAAGAATTATGATTTGCAACATAGGTACGAGTATTGGTAGTTTAAGGTATTTGGACAGACATCGACCTGACAGCTCAAATTTATACGTGATAAAATTTTTAACCTTTTTCCTCTTGAGTAAAGGGGTCTTGTATTCTGTCAAGTACTTTAAATAGAGCACTTTCTTTTTTTTCTTTTTTTTTTTTTGTTCTTTCCTTTTTCCTTTGGTCTTTTCTTTTTTTTTTTTTTCCTTTGGTCTTTCCTTTTTTCTTTTTACTCTTCTTCATTTTTCTTTCCATTTTTCTCTGTCCCTTCTTTCTTTCCATCTTTCTTTCTTTCTTCTTTCCACAATATCACGTCTTTCCATCTTTTTCTTTCTTCTTTCCATCTTTCTTTTTCTTCTTTCTTTCTTCTTTCCATCTTTCTTTTTCTTCTTTCTTTCTTCTTTCCATCTTTCTTCTATCTTTCTTCTTTCCATCTTTCTTCTATCTTTCTTCTTTCCATCTTTCTTCTTTCCATCTTTCTTCTTTCCATCTTTCTTCTTTCCATCTTTCTTCTTTCCATCTTTCTTCTTTCCATCTTTCTTCTTTCCATCTTTCTTCTTTCCATCTTTCTTCTTTCCATCTTTCTTCTTTCCATCTTTCCTTCCTTCCATCTTTCCTTCCTTTCTTCTTTCCTTTCTTCTTTCCTTTCTTCCTTCATGATGATCCCTTTCTTTCCAATAAACACATTCTTATTTTAGTCATGTAGGAGTAACAGTCCTGAGCCAATAATAACATGGTCCATAAATAAATGAAAAACAAACACTATACACAGGATTATCTTCTAACTTCATTTTTTTAGCCTTACTGATATTTATTCTTCCTTCATATTCAAAGACAAAAAGGAAATAGCCTCTTTGCTTTCTGCATTGACTTTTTCTCTTCATATGTGTCTATGTGGTTAATTACATTCGATTCTGCCAAAGAATGATAAGAATAGCAATGAAGACAAACAGAAATGACTGCAATTTAATTCTGTCTTCCATCCACCTCTGCCATGAAACATAAATGCCAGTAATTGTTTCTTTAATAGCTGCAAAGTTAGTGTCCAAAATGTTAAAAGTACAATTTCAGGTTCAATAAATTGATTCTCATTCAAGAATGGACAATAGAATGACTTTTTTAATGGTGAGGTTTCTGCCTTGTTTTAAAATCAGTTTGAAAATCTAAATTGTGAAAAAAGATTGTTCAAGTTGAACACTTTAACAATGATCAGATTTTTATTATTATTGTTAATAATAATAATAACAATATTGAATTTGACATGTCTAGTCTTGTGTTTGTAGCTTTAAAATAGTTTTCAAATAACAAAAATATTGCTAAATTAAAAACATCTGCTATAAAAACAAAATTTGTAATGAATTTAAAATAAATTCTCCAAGGATTATGCCAGTAAATATAATTATGACCAACTTAATTTCTTTTATGTGACATGTCCATTCAGGACGTGGATGATTACGGCTCTCTGCAACTTCCCTGTCTTTGACATCCTAATCCATCTACTATCCCTCTTACAACAACTTCTGCAATTCATTTAATAAGGAGATTATTTGCTGTATCAATCTTACCTTAAACATATTAAATTCATCAAGCCTTCTTTCATCATTTTATGTCCCAAACATTTCAAGAGTCTCTTTTTTTTATTCTAAATACAAGAGTACTTTTCATACTTATTTTCCTTAAAACTTCCTAATTTTTGCATGTTCTGTCCATTGTATTCTTGGCATCCTTCTGTAGAACCACATCTTTGCTCCCTCAAGTCTCCACTTCCTCTGTGAAGAAATTGTCCAGCATTCACTGCTATATGTGAGGAATTAGTATTTCTTTGTCTAGTGAAATTCTCTTGTTTCTTAATACTCTGTTTAGCTTTTGAAAAGCATCTTTTATTAACCACTATAACTTTGGTTTAGTATCACAGTTTCTTTTGCTTGTTATAATACTTTGCAGATACTTAAATTTCTGTACTTGTTTGATTCTGAGATCTCCAATTTGTAGCGCATATCTTACTAATGAGAGTTTTCTTACAATTTATGGTTAGTCCTTTCTTCTTGCTTTCCTTGTTTAGGAGTTCCTTATTATCATTAAATTTGGCATAATTGTCTCCATTAATATCTTTCAAAGTATTATTTTGATATGATACAACTAATAATAATATTAATATGAAAAACAATTATTATATGCGTTACTCAGCAGACTCATCACGTCTGCTATACTCATCAGACTAGCAGACTCATCACGTCTGCTATACTCATCAGACTAGCAGACTCATCACGTCTGCTATACTCATCAGACTAGCAGACTCATCACGTCTGCTATACTCATCAGACTAGCAGACTCATCACGTCTGCTATACTCATCAGACTAGCAGACTCATCACGTCTGCTATACTCATCAGACTAGCAGACTCATCATGTTTCCTATACTCATAACATTTTGGGTGTTGTACTCTCCAGCTGTCTGCCTTGAGAGGCTTAAACCTAAATTACTCCATTGGATTGTCCAAGTGACATATTGACTATTGGATTCATCATCAGTCCCACAAGTGTGGTCATAGGGTCGGTGTGCAACTGAGCCCCTGACCACTTGCTTCAGTGTATGTGCTGAATGCCAAATTATTTATTCATGCATAGCATCTCTTGGGCAAGTAGACCCTATCCATGTCACTAATTGATTAGTGATAGGCAAAACGTATCTGGTTCCCTGGCAGTTGTAATTTCAATCTCTGTGTTAGGTAATGCTATAAAATAACATACGTTGGTTTAGTAGAAGAAATTAACAAGTGGCACAAAGGTGAATAAGTATTAAGTAAAATGAAATCTCCCCTCCCCAGACTAAACATGGAAAACAGAACTAGAATATCTACTTCTCTGTACTGAATTTGGGCTCAGTTCAAAATTCTTAAAAGGTTACTGAATACGATGAATGCACTTTGGTATAAGGTTAAAGTTAACAAGGCTTGTCTAGATGGCTGTTACTACTAAGTAGAGAGTGCATGCCTCATTGGGTGTTCTATATAAAATTTAATATTAAGAAATACAAACAAGTGTTGACAGGCCATAAAAGCAACCAACTTCATGAGTATGAAGACAGATGCCTGAAGAAAACCAACAAGTCAAGTAAAATGGACAAAAGTTTGACAAAGATTAGTATGCAGGTCCAAACTGTACAGCATATAATAATTTGTTGTTATTACCACTTTTCTGTAGCACTCCTTATTACTGGTTCCCATATTGTATTTATTTCTATGCTTGGTCGGCTCAGGAGATTTTTGTGTCCTAGCATATGTGCTGATTCTTTAAGTTTATGAATTTTCCAATGATGTTCCTTGTCTATGATCTCAACCTGATCCCACAGAGGGCAATGATCTCCTTTCTCTCTCCATATGTGGTCAGCCATGCCTGATTTTTTTCACTTCCCCTCGTGTTACAGCTTTCTTGTGTTCTTGAAGCCTTACCTTGAGAGGGTGGCCTGTCTCTCCTTTATATTTCTTTCCACAGCTACATAGGATAGCATACACACAGTCTTTAGTCATGTTCTCCTCTATGGGGGGGGTCTTACTCGGGAGAGATATCTGCAAAGTGTCGTCAAGCTTCTGAAGGTTGTCCTGATGTTATATTGACCGCAGATCTTTTGTATTTTCTCTGATAACCCCTTCACATAAGGCAAGCAGACTGTATTCTGAGTGTTGTTGTCCTCCTCCTGTACTTGCCTATCCAGTTTTGGGGGCCTGCTGCCATGTACCCAGGGTAGTTGTTATGTTGTAGGGTAAAGTGATAATAACAACAAAGTTGCAATATGAGCTCTGGTAAAAAATTATGCAATGATAACAGCAAAATTGCAATATGAGCACTGGTAAAAATGGATGCTGAAAAGATTAGGTTTATAATACCCAGAAATTCATACACAGATGGCACAGCTAGATCCAGTGACAGAACCCAAAGCATGTGAGTTCAATACCCGGTGAAGGCAGTGGAGAATTTTCAGAGAGAAAATTAACAGGAGATAACTGATAACTGACATCCATTAAACATGGCATGTGGAACTAGAACAGTCTACCCCAGTGAGCAAAATAAAGGGTTCAGTTCGACATTCCAACCACCTGAAGAAGGCCGGAGCATACAACAGCCAAAACGTAATAAATATGGTGACAAAGATGAGGACAATAGTCCGAATAATGTAAATAATTACCCATTTTAGTCTGGCCACACATTGTCTCTAGATGTTCTTGATGAATTTGTGACAAATCCATGTCAGTAGATGCAAAATAGGCCCCAAATTGCATGCAGACATGTCTGTCAAAAGCAGTTACATCCTGATTTTCCTGTTAACAGCAGAACAGCTTGTCATGTCCAGATATGGGACTTGTCTGCAACTTTCCCTGATCCATGTTTCCGTCAACTGTCTCCTGTTAATAAAAGTGATGGGAAAACCAGTAGCGGGCAGTTGTTGAGACTTGGTGTCTTGTGAGATCGTTCCTTCAGGCATTTTGTTTCTGAAATTGCATGCCACTCACCAAACTGTGGTTTCTGAGACACTGCTGTTTTTGTTTCCTCTCATCTCTTTTCCTTTTTTTGCCCTTTTACCCTGTAGTTCTTGGGAGAGCAATCAGTTAGGTGTTTCCCCCAACCTCAACACACCGCTGCTGCATTTTACAACAGAATTTGACTGACATTTTGTAAAATTCTAGCCTATGCAACAAGGGAAATGTGATTAAAATTGGAGGTGAGTTCATTTTTACTTTTCAGATTGAGTGATATATATATATATATATATATATATATATATATATATATATATATATATATATAATAATGTTGCTTACACCAACATTTTTGTATTTTTGTAGGACATATATATATTATGCACTGTTACATTAGAACATGTACATATCCACTACAAAACTGTACATGTTCTAATGTAACAGTGCATAATAAATATTTATTGCTCTACTTTTGTATTGAGCCCTATTTTAAATTAATGTATTGAACGCTGAAATCTTACTCTTCGTTCTTTTACATTTGGAGATATATGATTCCAAAAAATCAGAACTTAAATAGTAAGTAACTTCCTTTTTAGCGATCTACAAACTAGCTTTGATTTAATTTTTTAGTGGTAATGGCAAAGATGTGTACTCTGATGCTTTCTAGTTTAAGACTTTAATTACTACACTTTGGGTGGGGGAAATAGATTAAACCCATAATGGCAAAATATTAAGTATTTAATGTCCATAAATGTAACCATAGAATATTTTTACAGTTTGTAATGTTGTATCACAATACATAACATGAAGACCTTCCTGTTAAAAATTTCATCAAAACAATTTCAGAGGACAGTTTGATCTACACACACACTCACGCACAATGGAAGAGATGACAGCCAGCAGCCACCACCTAAAGCCATGCCCACATACACAATAGAAGGGATTAATTACTTTATAAAACAAACTTTACTGCAAGGAAAATTGAACATTTTATTGTTACTGTATATGTCTGAAAAGAATATATAAATGTTATTTCAACTGATTTTCTGCTTCTACTTTTCCTTAAGAAAATAAAGTTTTAAGTCACATTTAAAATTGTTCTATTCTTGTTCTTAAATGCTTGGAATCCTGACACTCAGATAAAAAAATAAAAGCCTGAGCAGCCCAGATCTCAACAATATTTTTTTGCATGATGATACTCTAGAGAGATGTTCTCAAAGATCTCATGAAAAGTACAGCTGTGAATGCATTTCTACAAAAGTTAAGCATGGAGATGTGCTTTGATGTGGAGAACAATTTCAATTGCTGTTATCGATAAGCTGCTCCACTGTGGAAAGTATAGCGAAGAAAACAGCGACTTACCTCGTCAAACCAAGCGACAACGCGTCGCGTGTATCCTACAACAGAAAATGTGGTGAAAAAGAA